AATAAAACAGAGTATCAAAACAGGCTAATAGGAGAATAGCAATTATTAATACACTGGGTATTGTTATCTTCATAGTAGTTACTCATAATGCAACATAGGAATTAAATAGTATCCAAACAATATTAGCCCAAACCTTTCTTTTCAATGAACTAAAAGAAACTAGCTGTATAATTACCTTAACTATCTTGTGTATATATATATGTTTCTTTTCTTTTTCTTCCATTTCCCTTTACTGCATCAGTTTCTCTTGTCTTTTGAATAGTTTCTTTTCAATTCACAATATCTATTGTACATTTTGTACATTATTTACTATTTCAGTTTCTCATTTCAGGGAGACAATATATGTTTGCACATGTGAATCTGATTTATTTCACTCATGAGTATGGTCTCAAGTTGCTTCCATTTACCTATAAAAGCCCTAAGTTTGTCCTTCTTTATGGCTGCATAGTACTCCGTTATATAAAAAAACCCCACATCTTTCTTATCCATTCATTGCTTGATGGGCATTTGTATTGTTTTGAAGATATGGCTATTACAGATTGTGCTGCTTTAAACATGGGTGCACATATATCACTGTGATATGATGTTTTAAATTCTCTGGGAAGATACCTAGAAGAGGAACAGGTGGGTTAAATGGGACCACTTCTCCTAGTTTTAAAAGGAATCTCCACACTGATTTCCATAGTGGTTGTAATAGTCTGCACTCCCACCAATAGTGGAGAAGTGTTCTTTTTTCTCCATATCCCTGTCAGCATTAGTTGTTGGTTGATTTCTTGATGATAGTTATTCTTTCTGGAATAAGATGAAATCTCAGTGTTGTTTTAATTTGCATCACTTAAATGACCAATCATGTTGAAATTTTTTCCTATATTTATTTGTCATTTGTATTTTATTCATCTGAAAAGTTTGTATTCACTTGATTTTTTTTGTTTTTTGTTTTTTCTCTGGTACCAGGAACCGAACTCACAACCTTGCGCTTGCCAGGCAGGCGCTTTTGCCGCTGAGCTAAATCCCCAGCTCCTGTATTCACTTGAGATGCCCATTTTCAGACTGAGTCTTTGAATTTGAGGGGACTGATGTTTTTGAATTTTTATATCTTCTAGATATAACTCCTTTGTCTGAGGAACAACTGGGTATAATTTTTTCCAACGCTGTGGTATGTCTTTTCACTCTGTGATTCCTTTTGTTGTGCAAAATATTTTTTAATAAGGTGAGATCCCATTTGTTGAATCTTAATTATTAAATTAATTATTAATATGTAAATCCTTGGTGAGAGTTGTCCAAACGTTGCGTGCAATCTGCAAAAGAACCTCAGATTTTGCTCATATCAGAACAAAAAGCTCTGAACAAGAAAGTAATAACAAGAACAGGAAAATTTTCAACTTTATTCTCCGTTAAAAACGACATACAACTCATGTGTCCACTACCTCTGAATGCAAATAAAGCATAGAAAACAACAGAATGGCCTCCACACAGGTAAATGTTGAAATGCTATTCCTGGTCCAGATAGTCATTGGAACCACGGGGAATTTCTCTCTTTTAAGTCAGTATTTGATCCTTTATGTCAATGGATGCAAACTAAGGTCTGTGGATTGGATTCTCAGGCACCTGACTGTGGCCAACACCCTTGTCATTCTCTCCAGAGGAATCCCAGGGACCATGGCAGCTTGCGGGGCCGAAGACTTCCTCAGTGATGTTGGATGCAAACTTGTTTTCTATGTTCACAGGGTGGGCAGGGGGGTTTCTATGGGCAGCACCTGCCTGCTGAGTGTCTTCCAGGCCGTCACCATCAGCCCCAGGAGCTCCAGGTGGGTGGAGTTTGAAGTAGGAGTTCACAACTCTATAAGCACATTCACTGCCCTCTGCTGGGCACTGAATTTGATACTGAATATCACTTTTCCTGTGCAAGTGACTGCTAAGTGGAAAAAGAAAAACACCACAAATATAATAGACTTTGGATACTGTTCTGCTCCAGGTGATGAGAAAGTCCTGAATTCAGTAAATGTAGCTTTGTTCTCCATTAGTGATGGTATTTGTATAGGGCTTTTACTCTGTGCCAGCGGCTCCATGGTTTTACCCTATGCAGGCACAAGAAGCAGGTCAGACACATGCATAAGACCAATGTGTCCTGCCAAACCTCACCTGTGACCAGAGCCACCTACAGAATCCTTGTCCTGGTGTGCCTGTATGTAGAGTTTTACACCCTGTCCTGCATCGTGCAAGCGTGTATGGCTGTTTTTCATAATCCCAGCACCTTATTGCTCACTTCTGCTGCCTTAATAAATATGAGTTTCCCAACTATCTGCCCCTTGCTTCTCATGAGCTGGAAACACAGTGCATCCATATTAATTTGTGCCTCTCACAGAAAGAACAGAGTCACCTAAACTCATACTGTCTGGTTTCCATTGTATTCCATCAATGATATACTCAGGCCCCAGTGAAAGACTCCATAATGCAGAAGACTGGGCTTTACTCTCCACTGTGCTATTTAATATCTCCTTCCTCTCTCATCAAAATCAAGGGTCCATCAGCTTATCTGCTTCCTGCATCACCTCAGATATTTCTGTCCTTGAGAGACTCAGTTCTCCTCTAGTTGGTACTTGGTCCTTTATAAAATCTCAGCACCATGTGACTTTTACACTCCATTTGCAGTGTGTCAGTTGCCTTTTGATCCAGGTTTCAGAACTAGTTTTGAAGCTTTCAGTCATGTTCTCCTAGATACGCATCATCTCTTAACTTGGAGGCATACTGAGAACACGTTCTAGTCATCAAGTCAGAGGAGAACTTGAAACTGAGCCACACAAAGGTGCCGAATTAGAACTTTTAAGCTTTGCAAGATAAATGCTAGGAGAGGCTATTCGGGAGTCTCTCCATGCAGTCTCTCCTCCTCCTCCATTGGAAGATGTGAGGTCTTCCATTCAGTGTGTCCCTGGGTTTCCTGTATGACTGTGCTTCACCATTTCCACAGTCTACCCCCAACCACACTGCCTTTGTGAGATGTTGCTTTGGGTGACCTGAATTCCGTAACAGCTCTGTCCCTGGTCTTTGTGTTTTAGACACACTATAGACTTTATACTTTGTATTGTAAGTATTACATTTAAAACAACATAACAGAGTGTGCAATTTAATTAGTGAAAATTACACTCATGTAAGTAGTGAATTTTGTTTAAGTATCCAACCATAGCCTGATACCCTTTCTTCTCTTTCAGATAACTCTCATGAGTATTCAAGGTACTCTTAGGAAGTTGTGGTTTAGCCCATGGAAGTTATTTTAGTAGGAAAATGTTGAGGTGTCCTTTCTTACTTTACCTAGAGTGCCTCTGGTGAAAGCACCTTAAAACTCTAGCTCTTTTCCAATGGCACCTAGAAAGCTGAGGGTTTTCTTGAACTCAAGGAGAGGAAATATTAAAGGAATCTGCACCATTTCAAGCTACTGGTTTCAGGCTATTTTGACACCTATAAATGGAGGAACAATTTGTTTGTGTTTGTTTATTGGCAACATTGGTAGTGTTTTCCTCATGCTGATAACAAACGTTGTAACTGCATTTTTAAGATCTTCATTATTAAAGATTCAGTATTTCCTTTCTCCTCCTTAAATTTCACAGTGGATAATTTCTTAAACCACATTACTTCAACTGATTTTCCCTCAGCCTTTTTCTCCCAGTAGAAATTGTCCCCAGAAGGATGAGCTTTCATATTTAAATTTATTTCCACTAGTTTACCAATAGGTTGAGAAAAAGACAGAGTTCACCTAAAAGCTTCCATTTCCAGTTCTAAAATGCATTCAAGGTCCTGAATAACAGTCTTTTCCCAAACTGAGAGTAACACATTGAGAAGTTAGTCACCTTGTTGAAACTTGGACCCCTTTATCATTCCAGCATATTCATTCCTATATTGAAGCTTTGTTTAAAATTCCTTTTTCTTTTTAATAAGAACTTAGGTTGTTACCTTTATTGTGATCAGACCACAAAACACTAGATTTTATATCAGTAGGCACTGTAGAAGCCATGCAAAAAAACCTTTCCTGTGTTTGCTTGCCAAGGGGGTGTTCTGGTGTTTTTCCTCATAACGTTATTATTGCAAGCTGTGTTCATAATTGTCACCAAGTCAAATGATCATTCAAATAAAATCTAATGTCTGTTTCCGTAAGAAAGGTCTTTATGCAGAAATACAATTCTAAAGTTTTAGAAAGCAAAATTGTTAGACTATTTGAACAAATATTTATAAATCAGAATGGCATCAAAACAGAGAAAAGAAACAAAAACTGGAAAATTTGGTAATCAGCAGAAGCCACATTTTAAAGTTTCATTTTATGAAAGCTTCTTTGAAGGCTGTTAAAATCTATTCTGCACCCCAGAGTCTGTGTTCGCTGTATTTTTCATGACTTACAATGTACAAAAGTGTATGTGTGTTCTTTGTTGTCTTTAGAAACAAAACCATATTTTAATAAAAATAATGAGATGAGAAAAAAAGTACCCAGCTATAGGTTTTTTGCACTTTTCATAAGTTTTAAGTCTTCATTATAAAATGGCATTGTATGATGCTGTCAGTGTATTTAGGATTACATTTTTTTTGTTTGTTTGTTTGTTTTTCTCCGGTACCGGGAACCAAACTCATGACATTGCACTTGCCAGGCAGGCGCTTTGCCGCTGAGCTAAATCCCCAGCCCCTAGGATTACATTTTAAACTTGGGGATTTGCATTATTTATGCAAGGAATTAAGTACGCAGGGTTGTGTCAGTCTACAATGTGTGTATTTTTGTGGATATGTGTTTGTATGTGTGCATGTTTTTGCATGCATAAATGTTACAATGCATGTAATTGTGTGTGTATGTAGGTCAGTGTCCACATATATATGTGTTGTACACTTGAGTCCCTCAGCTTCAGGCCCCCAAAGCAGGGATTTTTAAAAATTTTAACAATTAAAAAACTGACAAAAGCACAATGAAGACAAAATCAAAACAACACAAAAACAATAAAAATGATACGTGACCTCAAAACAAAATGATAGGAATTTATAATGGTTGCTGCATTACATACTGTTTTCTTCAACAAAGTTGCTCAGTCCACCAGACATAAGAATGTAAGGTTGACCAAACAATCAAAGACAGTAACAAGTAAAAAAAAAAAAAAATGATGCAGAGCTTCACCATACAAGATGGTAGGAGTTCAACAATGGTTCTTATACTGCATATTGTTATTTTCAGATCAGTCATTCTGATTACCAAATTCAAGTGTGCAAAATTGGTCAAGAAAAAGGAAAATTTTAAGCACTGACTGTTCCTTTCAATAAACCACAGACATCAGTCATACACCTGTTCCAGCTATCCTTATATATGCATATAAATTTGAAAACAGGGATCTTGCATGGAGAATCTCATGTATTTCATTTTGAAGGGTTCTTTGGCTGTGCAAATGTATATATGTGAATTTTGTATGCATTTGAAATTTCATCCCCTAAATATCTTTGATGATAAAAGGGTTATCTGGTAATGAATTTTTTAAAATGCATATCTTTGAAAAATCGTCTTTCAAGCAAAATAAATAAAAAGATGCATAATAAATGGAGGTCATAGGGAGACAACCAACAAGAGAAAGAGGAGGTGACTCATGAGAATCACACACAGAAAGGATGGTGAAAGAGACACAGAGAAGGAGTGATGAATAAGAGAAATGTGGATGGAGTAAAAACAGGGTGGGACACAGAGTATAGGAGTAAAAAGTGATTTATTTGACACTGAGGCAGAACATCAGCTAAAGATGTTGGGAGGAGGAACAATAAAAAAAATGAAAACAAAGTAAGCAAAGGGGAAAGTAGAAATAAATAAAGACTTGACATGGAGAAAGATAGAGTAACAAGAGGAAACAGCCAGCGGGAGAAAAGAGAGAACAATGGAGAAATTAAAGCAATGGAACAATTTCTTTTCCCCCACAGCCTTACCACCATTTGTTATTTTTTGATTTCTTGATGCTTGCCGTTCTTGGTGGTGTAAGATGGAATCTTAGCATAGTTGTAATTTGCATTTCTTTAATGGCCAGAGATGCTGAACATTTTTTCATATATTTTTTGGACACTTGTACTTCATCCTCTGAGCGATCTCTGCCTGTTTCACTTGGCTATTTCTTGATAGGGTCTTTTAGTTTAGGTGGCCTAATTCTTTTAGTTCTTTATATATTGTGTGTATTAGTCCTCTGTCTGAAGAATAGCTGACGGAAATTTTCCCCATTCTGTAGGTTGTCTCTTCACTCTACTAACTGATTCCTTTAGTGTACAGAAAGTTTTCAGTTTGATATAATTCCATTTGTTGATTCTGGCTGTTATTTGTTGTGTTTAAAAATCCTTTTCTATACCTATTATTTCAAGAATTCTAACTATTTTATCTTCCAGCAGTTTCAGCATTTTTGTTTTAATGTTACTTTTTTTATCCATATTGATTTTGTTTAGTACCATGTGAAAGAAATGGGTCTAACTTTAATATTCTGCAAACTGGATACAGTACCCTCCCCATAGAGCTTAAGACATCATACAACATCAGTGCATGTGTAGCATTGATTATAGTAGCCCAACTCATAATAGCTAAATCCTGAAAATAGCCTGTATACCCATTAGCAGATGATTGGATAAAGAAAATGTGGAATCTATACACAATGGAATACTACTTGGCCACAAAAAAGGACAAATTTGAGACATTTATAGAAAAATAGTTGCACCAGGAAAATATAATGCTGAGTGAAATAAATCAGACACATAGATTTAAATAGTGCATGGCATATCTCATTTGAGTAAGGGAAAGTACAAGCAAAGAGCGTAACAAAGTAATGGTAGAAGGAGAGAGGGGTTGGATCTCTTGCTGTAAGGAAGTGGTCCAAGAGACCATGGGAGAGGGGAGGGGGGAGGGGAAGGGTAAATAAGTAGAATAAAGATAAGCCATGTACAGGAACCTGATAACCTGAATAAATGTTAGACACTACATGCCATAAGCATAAGCCAAGGTTAACAGTATCAGCAAGAATGAAGATGGGAAAGGGGATTTAGAGGTGGAGGGAGGGAAGGAGGCAGGAGAAGGGGTAGTTGATTAAGAAAAGAAACAAGCTGCCTTGTGCACATGGACCCACTGCCCAGGATGACTCCCCAGGATAATCTGCAGTACTGCAAATACTGCAGTACTAATGAAACAAAATTAAAAATGGAAAGAGAAATAGTAGAAGATAAGATGTGAAAACCAGAGAAAAAATTCAAGTGACAGGGAGAGGAAACCAAGTATCTAAAAAAGGAAGACTTTGTATTACTTAATGTAATCATTAATCATGACATGTCAATTTGACTTACGGACCACCTAGCAGATTATAAATTCTGGGCTTGTCTATGGATGGTTGAGATGTAGGCCAGCAAACTGAGGGAAGACCCATTTTAGAAGCTGGTGGCACCAACAAATAGGCCTATGCCTTAGACAGACTAAAAAGAGAAGGAAGTGTTCCCTGTTCTTTAGAAGTCTTCACTATTGCCTTACTATGTGTATCTCCTGTTCCTTTGGGTGTTCAGCACAGGTTCCTCATCTTTCCAACACAGACTTTTCAACTTTCTGACACAGCTGTGCAAAACTGAGCTTCCAAGTTTCTAAGTTTCTGAGCTTTGAAGCTCTGCACTGAGCTTCCAACGTTTTGACTTTAATCTGCTGCAGTATCCTCTGGCTACATATTAATAAAAGCCAAAAATCACAAAACAAAACAAAACAAACAAATGAAATGGAAGCCCAGAAATAAACTCATAATTACAACCAACAGATTATCTTTTGATGCAGCCCAACCTAGTCAATGACAAAAAGCTCAATCACTTGAATAAATGGTCCTAGGAAAGCTACATCTCCTCGTGGAGAATAAAAACTAAGCTTCTGTCTCCCACCACCTACAAATATGATTTTAAGTGGATTACATGCTACATGTACATAAGAACAAAATG